GCACCCTCAGCAGCTCCAGAACCTCCAACTCCAGCACCCTCAGCAGCTCCAGACTCCGCACCCCCAGGCTCCGCACCTCCAGGCTCAGCACCCCCAGGCTCCGCACCCCCAGGCTCAGCACCCCCAGGCTCCGCACACCCAGGCTCAGCACCCCCAGAAGCAGCACCCCGAGTAGGACCACCCTCAGCAGGACCTGAGTCACCAGTGACCTCAACCGACGCAGTCAAGGGAGGAGGGTCTACCTGAGACACACCTGAAGGAGCAGGACCGGGAGCGGGGAGGGGGTCTACCTGGGCAGCACCTGGAGCGAGGAAGAGCGGCGGGGGGGGGAGAGGGACAGTGCGGTAGGGGAAGAGACGGTAAAAAGGAACCGACTCGTCGAACGTGACGTCCTGAGAGGGGAAGACACGGCGCGAGGTGGGGTGGTAAAACTGCCAACCAGGCGCGTCAGGGACAAAGCCAAGGAAGACACATGGAACAGCGCGGGCGGAGAGCTTGTCCGTGGTGGTATCGCGGACAAAGGCACGAGCACCCCAGACCCGGAAACGCGACGCATCGCCAACCTTCCCCGTCCACAGCAATGTGGGCGAGGTCTCCGGCAAGGAGACACGGGGCCAGAGGTTGAGCTGATGCGCAGCGTACCGGACCGCAAACGGCCACAGAAAATGGGGGGCAGCCGCATGGATCATGGAGGTACGAGCGACCTCCATGACTAAGCCAATGCGGCGCTCAGCAACCCCATTCTGCTGCGGAGAGGCCGGAAGCGTGAACGACTGGGTGATGCCGTGCTCCTTACAGAAGGCTGCCAAGAGGTCGGAGGAAAACTCCCCACCTCTGGCAGAGTGCAGACGCAGGACGGGAAACTCCGTCCCGAACCGCTCGCGGAGCTGGAGACGAGCAGCGCGGATCCAAGGGATCAAAACATCAAGGACCTCACCCTTGGTGCGCAAGGGGAAGACCGTGGTGTAACGCGTGTAGTCGTCGACGACCAGCAGGAAGTACCGCTCGTGGCCCTGTCCACGGACGCGGGCTGGGCCCCACACGTCCAGGTGGAGAGTCTGCAGGGGAGCCTCTGTGGGAGGGAACGAGGAGGAGTGAGGAGCGGCGCGCTGCCGCCCCTCGACACAGGGAAGACAGGGAGGAGCAGGCGAGGGTGGGAGGGGAGGGAGAACCCTGGGAAGACCAGAGACAAGGACACGGCGGTGCATGCTACAAAGGCGCTGCACCGAGGGGTGACCAAGGCGGTGGTGCCAAAGGAGGGTCTGCTGCGACAGAGCGCGACACGAGCAGGGGTCCGCTAGCTGACCTGACGCAGACGCAGACGCAGCGACCTGAGGGGACACAGTAGTGAGTGTGTACAAACTCGAGCCAGGCGCACGGGTAAACGTGGCCAAGTGCCGGCCCGTCCGGGAGCACGTACAGTGGGTCACGCGCTGACCTCCAGGAGTGAACTGGTCAACCCACTGGTCCTGGAGGTCAGCACCACTCACCAAGTTCATAGAGAACGAGGGGAGGTGAAGACCTGACAGGGAGCCAGACGGGACCGCCGGACACGGCAGGACCGTGGAGGAGTGCACAAGGACTGGACCCCCAGAGGGGTCTGCCAGGGAGACTGGAACCGGCCGGCTGAGCGGCGTGAGTGTGGTGCTGTCGCGAAAGAAGGAGCGGGAAGCACCTGAGTGAAGTGTGAAGGTGTACAAGGCCTCAGCAGGCACAGTACCAGAGAGAGCAGACTCACCAGCACCTGGAGCAGCAGCCTCACCAGTACCCAGAGCAGGAGACGCACTAGCACCTAGAGTAGCAGCCTCACCAGCACTGAGAGCATCAGGCTCTATGCCTGGGTCAGGCGGTACGCACAGATAACAGGCACGGTCAGCACTAGTAGGCAATGCATACATGGCAGTGAGAATAGCATCATAGTCAAGAGCATAGATATCTACCCTCTGCCCAAGCAGCTCCACCCAGTCGGGGAGCTCAGCCTCGTCGCCAAACTCGGTACGCCAGGCGTCGCTCAGACGGGCGAAGCAGCGGGACTGGGTGTGACTAAGCGTCCCGCAAGTCTGACCCGTCCGATCACCTGTGCGAATGACGTACGGGCAGCGAACGGTACTCAAAGACCCTCTACTCTGAGCGTACCACTCGTGAAGCTGCTGGGACGTAAGTGTCTCGCGTGGACGCCGCTGCAGCTGCAGCTGGCCACTGCCAGACGCTCCCAACTGACCAGCTCCAGGGCGACAGCTACGACGGCTACCACCACAACCCCAACTAGCGTACCACTCACGAAGCTGCTGGGGCGTGAGAGACTCACGCGGACGTCGCTGGAGCTGCATCTGGCCACCGCCAGTAGCAGCAGTAGCACTAGCAGTAGCCTAGCAGTAGTAACAGAAGTAGCAGCAGTAGCAGCGCGAGCAGGGCAGGCGCGGCAGGCAGGCAGGTAGGCAGGCAGGCAAGCAGACAGGCAGGAAGGCAGGCAGGCTGGCAGGCAGGCAGGCAGACAGATGGCGCGGCAGCGCGCTAACAAGGCAGGTGCTCACCAGTGGCGGGAAGAGCAGGGGCTCGCCGGGCGAGCAGGGCCAGCGCACGGCGGGCGGCTGCACGGGATCTAGGGGCGGCGTCGCGGGATCCAGGGGTGGCTGCACGGAGTCCAGGGGCGGCTGCACCAGGGGCGGCTGCTTCAGGGGCCAGGGGCGGCTGCTCTGGGTCCAGGGGCGGCTGCACCAAGGGCGGCTGCTTCAGGGGCCAGGGGCGGCTGCTCTGGGTCCAGGGGCGGCTGCTCGAGGGTCCAGGGGCGGCTGCACCAGGAGCGGCTGCTTCAGGGGCCAGGGGCAGCTGCTCTGGGTCCAGGGGCGGCTGCACCAGGGGCGGCTGCTTCAGGGGCCAGTTGCGGCTACTCGGGGTCCAGGGGCGGCTGCTCCAGGGGCGGCTGCTGCAAGGGGCCAGGGGCGGCTGCTCTGGGTCCAGGGGCGGCTGCTCGAGGGTCCAGGGGCGGCTGCACCAGGGGCGGCTGCTTCAGGGGAGGCTGCTTCAAAGGCCAGGGGCGGCTGCACCAGGGGCGGCTGCACTAGGGGCGGCTGTACCAGGGGCGGCTGCTTCAGGGGCCAGGGGCGGCTGCACCAGGGGCGGCTGCTTCAAAGGCCTGGGGCGGCTGCACCAGGGGCGGCTGCACCAGGGGCGGCTGCTTCAGGGGCCAGGGGCGGCTGCACCAGGGTTGGCTGCTTCAGGGGCCAGGGGCGGCTGCACCAGGGGCGGCTGCTTCAGGGGCCAGGGGCGGCTGCTCTGGGTCCAGGGGCGGCTGCACCAGGGGCGGCGTAGCTGGTGCAGGGCCGCGCGCGGGTCCCACAGGCGCCGCGACTGGCGACGGGGGGCAGTGCGCAGGCCAAGCGGGGCCGCGTCGGCGGCAGGGTGGGGCCGCGACAGCGGCAGGGCGGGGCCGCGTCGGCGGCCGTAGAAAGCAGCGCGAAGGCTGCGAAGCGACGCGCGGAGCAGGAGAAGGCAGCGCGGGGGCTGCGGGGCGGTGCGCGGGCCTGACAAGGCAGCTAGCGGGCTACGCGCTGGGCTGACGAGGCAGCAGGCGGGCTGCTAGCGGGCTGTACGAGGGCCAGCAGAGGCGAGCGAGAGGGCTGCGCGACGCAGGGCAGTGTAGGCAAGGGGCGGGGTAACTCGGTAACCGGCGGAAAACGGTTGGTGGGCCCTGAAAAACAGTCCTAAAACGGTCCTAGGGACCTATGTTGCTCTTAATACCATGTCGAGAGTAAAGGGAAAAGGTGGTGTGGACTATCGAGAAAGTTGGGTACAAGTAACAAAAAACTATACCCTACATTAGCTACCCCACTAAAGCCTACATTCTATTATGACATAGGCATATAATTTGACAAAATGTTGATATTTGTGATAGGCTCTAGTAAGGTGCTCCTTAGTGAGTACAAATATGTTAGGGTTTCCTATTTGTACCCCAACTCCTTTCTAGTCAAACATTCCGGTGCATTCCTACTTTGAGAGAAACGACTTAGCCAGCCATCTACTTTAAGGGGTACATTCCCTTATTACAGTAAAATCCAACCGTTCGACTCCTAACGCTTACGAACTGTTCCCGGCAGAATCCTCCCCGCTGCAACTGCACTATGTTGTTTGCCTTGATGGTCCAGATGCTTTATAACCGTGGGCGACTCTTCGTGGCATTCCGTCTCTTCGTCTTCATACTCATTTCTGTGTGACTCGCTTGCTACTGTTAGGAGTGTACAGTCCTTTCCGCGATTTACTATTCGTAAGACATGTCATCTTCCTTCCTACCCTTCCACTCTCCTTACTTTCGCCGTCCCTTAGAGTAGAATGGGCTTGAAACATTTGAAATTGCAGACTTTTCTACATGTCTACATGTTTTGATATTGATATGCATTTTTTTGAATCAACATTTTGCCAGCTCAACATGCTTTGTAATTGTCCTGGCATGTCATAATCAGTGTTGATTGATGGAGAAGTCTCAAATCCAAATATTATTCTAATAGTATTTTACGGTATGAAGTTTGAAGGAATAGTGTTCATTCTTTGTTCTCGCTCGCCACAGCAGGGCGCTTTGTGGGGGATTAGTGTGGCGAGCACATTTTACACCCGAAACCCGAAACCGTGGCGAAATGTTACTGCGGAAGAAATGAGTGTGCACGAAATCCTGATTTTCGGCAGCCAACACTTACGCGCTGAACCTCCAGTTGTTCACCCTCCGCCAAATCCTCGAAAAATCCCAGCGGAATCGGGTCGTCAGCTCCGTCGACCCTCTGACGACCGTTGCGTGGCGAGCACAGTATTTCTTCGCGGCCTGACTGCGTTTTCGCCCCGCCCATGTTTTCGTTCATATTCCCCCCAGCACTATTGCAAGGTCAAGATTTGCTGACTTGAGGCTATAAGGAGTCCACGCTCTCAGTAGACTTCCGTGTGTCGTGAGCGCGGATCTATCTCGCGTTGCTCACCTCCGCCCACCAAACCAGCCATCCGTCTCGCCCGCCATGTCGGCGGGCAAGCGCTATCGCGTGGAGCCCTCGCGGAAGACGGTGCTGCTGGAGGTGGGCGAGTCGCTCCGCCAGGCCAGCCGCACGGGGGAAGCTGGCAGTGGGGGAATCGGCCGCGGAGGGGCTTCCGCGGGCCGTTCTCTCGGCCGTGGGGGTGGTGGCGAGCGGAATGCGAATCTGAGCTCGCCGCTAGCCGCGGAGGTCTCCGCGGACGGGGGAGGCCCCACGGGTGAAGCAGGTGGGTTGGAGCGGGAAGAATGGCCGCGGCAGGCGGCGCTGAACGTGGAGACGCGCGCGAGGAGCGGGCCGGCGGGCGTGGGGGGAAGGGGTGGCAGAAGAGGGGTAGCCGGAAGGAAGGGGGCGAGAGAGGACGCGCGGAGAGCGGGGGTAGCGGGCGCTCGGGGCGGTTCCGGGATGGGAGGGGGCAGCGCGGCAGCAAGGGGGTGGGCGGGCGACGCGTCGCTGGAGCGGCTGCAGCGCGAGGCGACGAGCTACAGGCTGTGGGGCGCGGGGGGGACAGCTGGCGCCACGTCAGCAGCAGCAGGGGCGGCAGACACAGACGCCGCACAGCCCGCCACGCCTCCGCCGAAGCTACCAGAGCGGTTTGGATCGGTGGAGGAGTACGTGGGGGCGTTCGAGCCGCTGCTGTTTGAGGAGGCGCGTGCCCAGGTGGCGAGCAGCTGGGAGGAGGTGGACGGCGGCGAGGGGGGCGGCGGGCGCGCGGGGGGGAGCAGCGCGGGCGTGGCAGTGCGCGTGGCGTCACTGGAAGCCACCCACCGAGGTGACTGACGACACCCCACATCCCCCCCACCTACCTACTGCTCCACTCGCCTCGCCTTGTACCGCCCTTACCTCTCCACCCTCGCCTGCTCTTGCCTCTTTCCTTTCGCCTCTCAGATCGCTTAGCCGCTCAAAATACACGTTGCCACGCCACCACCCAGGCACGCCCTCCCCACCCAGGCACGCCCTCCCCACCCAGGCACGCCCTCCCCACCCAGGCACGCCCTCCCCACCCAGGTACGCCCTCCCCATCACATCACCCAAAAAAGTGTCGACTCACCTCACATCTCCACTCCATGGTGTCTACTCGCATCAAATCACCCAAAAAAGTGTCGACTCACCTCACATCTCCACTCCATGGTGTCTAGTCGCATTACATCACCCAAAAAGTGTCGACTCACCTCACATCTCCACTCCATGGTGTCTACTCGCATCAAATCACCCAAAAAAGTGTCGACTCACCTCACATCTCCACTCCATGGTGTCTAGTCGCATCACATCACCCAAAAACGTGTCGACTCACCTCACATCTCCACTCCATGGTGTCTAGTCGCATTACATCACCCAAAAAAGTGTCGACTCACCTCACATCTCCATTCCATGGTGTCTAGTCGCATCACATCACCCAAAAAAGTGTCGACTCACTTCACAACATCTCCACTCCATGGTGTCTACTCGTATCAAATCACCCAAAAACGTGTCGACTCACCTCACATCTCCACTCCATGGTATCTACTCGCATCACATCACCCAAAAAAGTGTCGACTCACCTCACATCTCCACTCCATGGTGTCTAGTCGCTTCACATCACCCAAAAAAGTGTCGACTCACTTCACATCTCCACTCCATGTTGTCTACTCGCATCAAATCACCCAAAAAAGTGTCGACTCACCTCACATCTCCACTCCATGGTGTCTAGTCGCATCACATCACCCAAAAAAGTGTCGACTCACCTCACATCTCCACTCCATGGTGTCTACTCGCATCAACGCCAGCCGCCAGCACTTACCGCCAGCACTACCGCCAGCACTACTGCCAGCGCCGCCACCAGCGCCATCCGCCTGCCCTGCCGCCCGCCTCTTTGTCTCCCCTCCCACGGCTGCTGCGGGGGGGGGGGGGGGGGGGGAAGGTGGCGGGGACGAGGGGATGGTGTTACGAAACGAAGTTAGTCTAGGAACTGGGGTTTACTAAGGGCCTAGGCTTAGTAGCCTATGCCAAGCGGGTGTCAAGGTGGTTGTACCAAGGAGAATCGAGAGAATGGAATGTTTCACTATAGGTTTGCAAGAACATATAGCAAAAGAACATAGAGAAGGTGCACCACCAATGTAAGAAGGCATAACTACACTAAAGCTAATGCTACAGGCAGTTATAAACATACATATAAAATATGTATCGCGACACACCCCCTTAACTGCCTGCAGCACATAACTTGAGCAACTCACACCCCCGACACCTGGGCAAGAGGTAGGAGAAGCAGAGGAAATAGTAGCACAGATCAACCATGACATTGCAACAACGGCAGGTGCAGGACCCGAGAGGTGGGCGTGAGAGCAAGCGCCGTGGCTGCAACGAGCAGCTGGACAGCGCGGCTCAGCACCTCCGGGGGCGTGCCTACTACAGGCAGCAGGTGCAGTGATGGCAGATAGGGCCACAGTGACCTCAGCCACGGCAGATGCAGCAACGACAGGTGCAGGACCCGGCAGGTGGGCGTGAGAGCAGGCGCTGTGGCTGCAACGAGCAGCTGGACAGCACCGCTCAGCACCTCTGGGGGCGTGCCTGCTACAGGCAACAGCTGCAAATGCCCGACTTACTTCTTCCACCCCCTTTCCCGCCCACTCAACCCCTCTAGTGCTGGCGGCTGGCGCTGGTGCTGGTTCCTGGTGCTGGCGGCTGGCGCTGGTGCTGGTTCCTGGTGCTCGTGCTGGTTCTTGGTGCTGGTTCCTGGTGCTGGCGGGGTTCTCTGCTGGCGAGGTTCTCTGCTGGCGGGGTTCTCTGCTGGCGGGGTTCTCTGCAGGCGGGGTTCTCTGCTGGCAAAGTTCTCTGCTGGCGGGGTTCTCTTGTGGCGGGGTTCTCTGCTGGCGGGGTTCTCTGCTGGCAGGGTTCTCTGCTGGCGGGGTTCCTTGCCAGCGGGGTTCTCTACTGGCGGGGTTCTCTTGCTGGCGGCTGGCCCTGGAGCTGGTGCTAGTGCTGGCGGCTGGCCCTGGAGCTGGTGCTGGTGCTGGTGCTGGCGGCTGGCCCTGGAGCTGGTGCTGGTGCTAGCGGCTGGCCCTGGAGCTGGTGCTGGTGCTGGCGGCTGGCCCTGGAGCTGGTGCTGGTGCTGGCGGTTGGCCATGAAGCTGGTGCTGGTGCTGGCGGCTGGCCCTGGAGCTGGTGCTGGCGCTTGTGACTGGCGTCGGTGCTGGTGCTGGTGTTGGCGGCTGGCGGGTCCAATGGCAGGTGATGCGCGCTGGGCGGGACAGAGAGACAGGGGAGGTGTGGCGGCAGAGGCTGCAGATGGATCACCCACCCCCTCAACCTCCCCCCTACATGAGCCGCCAACCCCACCACTCCCCCTCCCCCAGCCGTCCCCTTCGGGCCACACCTCCTCCCCTTCCCGCTGGAAACGGAGCCGGAGATGGGGGTGGGGTGGCAGTTGTTGGTGGGGGGGGGGGGCGGGATCTGGGGCAGAACGGCGGTCTGGGTGCAGGTACGGGGTGCGGACGGGTCTTGCGGACGGGGGCACGGACGTCGTGCGTGGTGCGGATGGCGTACGGGCGACGGGCGGGGTGCGTGGTGCGGGTGGCGCACGGGCGGCGGGCGGGGTGCGGGTGGCGGGTGGAGTACGGGCGACGAGCGGGGTGCGGGGTGCGGGTCGTGGACGATCTGGCGCATGCAAGGGCGTAGCAGCAGCTTCTCCCGCCACTCCCACCACTCTCGCCACTCCCGCCACTCCCTTTACAGCAGTTGCGAAGTCGACGGGAGGCCGGGCGGGGACCTGGCGATGGGCAGCGGAGAGCGTACGGGTGGCGGGGATCTGGCGACGGGCGGCAGTGCGACGGGACGGGCGACGGGCTGCAGCAGCAGATATCGCGCGGGCAGCGGGATGCAGTTGCGGGTAGCGCGTCGGCGATGGGCAGAAGCAGCGGGTAGCGCGTGGGCGACGGGCTGCGGCGAGGAAGCGCTCACGAGGCGCGCTACGGGCCGCGCAACGGGGCACGCCATAGCGAGAGGCTAGCGGTGGGCCCATAAAAATTTGGTCCTTAGGAAAGGAACCGCTCTGATACCATGTTACGAAATGAACTTAGTCTAGGAACCGGGGTTTACTAAGGGCCTAGGCTTAGTAGCCTAGGCCAAGCGGGTGTCGAGGTGGTTGTACCAAGGAGAATCGAGAGAATGGAATGTTTCACTATAGGTTTGCAAGAACATATAGCAAAAGAACATAGAGAAGGTGCACCACCAATGTAAGAAGGCATAACTACACTAAAGCTAATGCTACATGCAGTTATAAACATACATATAAAATATGTATCGCGACAGATGGGGGGTTGGCCGCCGTGAGAAGGAGCATAAATGCCGCCTCACGCTCACTCCCGCTCCTGCCGTTAAGGGGGGGGGGGGGGCAGAGGGGGTGGCGGTAAGGATTCTGCAGGGACTACCGTGGGTGGGGCAGGGGTGTGGAGGAAGGAAGGGAGGAGTGAGTGCGGTTCCAGGGGGCGGCTGAAATGGGGGGTGCGGTTAAAGGGGGGGTGGTTGAAAGGGTGTGGGGATTTGGGGGTTACTAAGAGGGGTTTCGCTATGCTAGAAATAACATAATAAAGTAAAGTCAAGCAAGCATAGCTGACATAAGCCGTCGTACTCTCACACGTCCCCCCCTCAAAGCTGGGTGGCGTGAGATACACCCTGCTTGACAAGATAGTCCTTGAGAGCACGGCGTGCATTGCCCATATCAGCTTCTGCAACCCAACTGTCCTCAGTGGGGTCGTATCCCTTCCAGCGAATTAGGAACTCGAGGGTCTTGCCCCACGGCGCCGATGAGTGAGAATGCGCTCCACTTCATACTCCGGTTCATCCTATATGAGAACAGGTGGTGGTGGCGGTAGCTGCCGTCCCTGGAACTGCTGGTTGGGGTTCTTGTAGGGTATCAGTAGCTGGACATGGAAAGCGTTGTGAAGCTTCCACGTGTCTAATAAGCGCAAGCGGAATGTTACTGGTGTCACCTGTGCCTCAACGAGAAAAGGACCACAGAAGCGAGGCCGGAGTTTGGATGGGAGGTGAGACAGGTTCAAGATGCGTGTGTCAAGAAGCACCTGATCTCCGACTGCTACTGAGTGATCTCATCGCTGGCGATCGACATACTGCTTCTGGGAGGTTTGCATCGTGGTGAGTCGTCGCTGAGTCTTCTCCCAGAGCTGCTGCATGGTGGTGACGAAGTCATGTGCGGCTTGGACGTGTGCCGGTGTGGTTGGCTGCTGTGGTGTGAGTGGTTCCCGTCCGTAACACAGGAAGAAAGGAGTTTTCCCTGTGGTCACATGTGACGCGTTGTTGTAAGCGAACTCTAGGGTCGGTAACTGTGTGTCCCAGTGGCTGACGTCGTCTTTGCAAGCTGTGCGCAGTAACTGTTCAACCACCTGATTGAGTGGCTCTGTCTGTCCGTCAGTCTGTGGGTGGTATGCTGAGGACATCGCAAGTTTGGTCCCCAATAATCCCATGAGCTCATTCCAGAACTTACTGGTGAATTTGGGGTCTCTGTCTGAGATGAGTGTAGTGGGGATGCCGTGGATGGTGATGATGCGGTCGAAGAAGAGGCGAACAGTTGCTTCAGCTGTAGCTGTGGCGTTCTCTGCGTCCACGGAGTATCCATGCTGGAATAGACCCTTGAGCAGAGGGTTCATCCCGTCGAGATGGATGCCTGCTACATGACCGGGGCGGCTCAATGTGTCTGCCTTGTTGTGTAGCCCGGGCTTGTAGACGATGTCGTAGTGGAAGTGAGTTTCCAGGAAGTCCACACACTGCACCTGACGTCGTGAGAGCGTCGGCTGCGACTTTAGGTATTTGAGACTGCAGTGGTCAGTATAAACTGTAGTCTTGGCTCCCTCTATGTAACACCTCCACGCCTTGAAGGCTACGACTACAGCTAAGGCTTCGTTGTCGTGGATGGGGTAGTTCAGTTCTGCTCCGTGTAGTTGTTTACTAAGGTGGGCGATAGGCTGTAAAATCGTTCCCGTGATCCTGCATCAGTACTGCTCCAACTGCCTAGTCACTAGCGTCTGCTTCAACTACGTAGTCCTTGTCCGGATCTGGTAGGATGAGTACTGGCGCTGTTGTCAGTGCTGTTTGTAGCTGTTCCATGGGTTGTTGATGAGGAGTATCCCATTTAAAGGGTGTATCCTTTTTCAGTAGGACGGTCAGTGGCGCTGCTATCTTAGCGTACTGTGGCACGAACCTGTTGTAGTAGTTGGCGAAGCCTAGGAACTGCTGCAACTCCTTCACGTTCTCCGGAACTTCCCACTCCTTGACGGCTTCAATCTTCCGCGGGTCCACGTGTACTCCCTCGGCACTCACCATGTGCCCAAGAAACTGCACCTTCTTCAGTGCGAAGTCGCTCTTTGACAGCTTCACGTAGAACTTATTTTCCCGCAGGATCTCGAACACCTTCCGCAGATGCTCCACGTGCTCCTTCATGTTCTTGGAGTAGATGAGGATATCGTCCAGGTACACTACTACGCACTCGTCCAGCAGGGGCCGCATGATATGGTTCATCTCTGCCTGGAACGTCGCTGGTGCGTTGCAGAGTCCGAACGGCATCACCAAGTATTCGTAGGAGCTGTATCTGGTACGGAACGTCGTCTTGTGGATCGAGTTGTCCGCCATCTTGATCTGCCAGTACCCCGACCGTAGGTCCAGCTTCGAAAAGACAGTTGCACCACGCAGTTGGTCCAGTAGGTCGTCTATGCGCGGTATGGGGTATTTGTTTTTAACTGTCTGTTTGTTCAGTGCGCGGTAGTCTATGCACATCCGTAAACTGCCGTCTGGTTTTGGAGTGAAGAGAACTGGTGCACCGTAGGGAGAGGTGGATGGGCGGATCAGTTGTCTCTCCAGTAGATACTCTATCTGCTTTTTCATGTCTGTCAGTTCGGTTGGACTCAGTCGGTATGGTGCTCGTGAGACGGGTTTCGCACCTGGTTCCTCTACGATCTCGTGCTCGTGGGTGCGTGCTCGAGGTACGCCTGCGGGTAGGTCGTCGGGCATTATATCCTTGTACTGCTCCAATACCTCCTTCACTGCTGCAGGTAGCTCTGTGTTCAGCTTCTCCTCTTCTGCTGCTGCCATAACCAGTGCTAAGTAACCCGTGTTACTCTCGTTCACCGTCTGTTCGAACCGTGCCAGTGTTGTTTCAGAAACACTCCCTGCATCTGTCCAGCTTCACAGCTCCACTCGTTTCCCATTGTTGTAGATGCACGCCTTACTATTGACCCAGTCGATCTCGGGGTTGAACCGCTTTAGGAAATCTCGCCCCAAGATGAAATCTAGACCTTTGATATTCGTGATCGGCAACGTCGGCTTCCACCTCAGCGCCCCTATGTGCAGCTGCAGTGATGCTTCGCTGTAGATGGGAAGTTTCGTACCGTCCACCATCGTTGCCACGAACTTGGTCTCCTCGAAAGGTTCCCCAATTTTCTCCAACGTCCTGCGGTCACACACTAAGTGAGATGCACCGCTGTCCACCAGAGCCTGGACGCGTCGTCCTTTGTATAACACCTCGAGGAGTAGTGGTTCCTGCTGCGCTGAGTAGCCAAAGAGGGTCTCATTAATAGGATCATAGGGTACATAAAAGATATTACCATCCCTATTTCCTATACCTGACTCAGCACTTTCCTGTGAAAACAAGAATAAAGAGTGCCCCACTACAGCCTACAATATAGTTCTGACATTTCCAACTTCACCTGGGGGGTAGGAGGATTTTTCCGAGGCTTGTACAAATTCTCATGAGCTTGGAGTTTTCCTCTAAGCCTTTGCAAATGTGTAGGCTTCACCTGTGGGCAACGGGGAGCCTTAACACTGGGCTGCGGGGAGAGAATATTGACTCCACGGAATGCACGACCATTTTCTACGCTCCGTAGTACTTTGCCCAACTTCTCAGGTACCTGAATAATCTCTAAAAGCTTTTTCTTGGCCTCTAAATCTCCCCTGAATTTTTCAAAGGCTTGAAAACCACGAGAAGCAATATTTTTCGTTTGAGTATCTTTATTGGATACTTTTAACGAATTCTTACTTTCGTGGATGTTCGGCTGGAGTTTCCCGGTCGGGCCTGAGTCTTTTTTCGCGGAGCCTCCATTTGCCTCGGCAATTTCCCCTGATGCCGGCCGGTCGTGACGTTTTATATTCGTGCCATCATTTTCTCCTTTTTTCACCCGCTCCGAAGTCGCCACGTCGTTGCCCTTTTTTGCTTTTCGGATCTTTACGCGATCGCCAAGTCGATCCGCGGCTACTGGCGATTCCCGTTTTTTTATTTGGGCGGTGCTCCACTGTTGCCGCTCAGCAGTGCCGCAAGTGCCTTCTTCATTTTGTAGCACGACAAAATTTGATGCCCCGCTGCGCCGCAAAATTCGCATTTTGTCGTTTGCTGCTTCGCGTCAAATTTGTCGATATCCATCGGTTCGGCGAACGTGGAGGGTGAAGATCGCTCCGTGCTGAATGTACGGTTTGGCCCGTAACGTCGTGTTTCGGGTTGACCACGAGTCAAAGCGTCGTATCGTTCGGCAGCACGCACGATGTCGCGGTAATTATTGTAGTTCGCTGCGATGACCTATCGGCGAATCTCCAATTTTAACCCTTCTGTGTACGCCTGGATTTTTTCGCCCTCGGTCAAGTCAGTGATGCGGTTGAACAGTAGCTCCATCTGC